TTGGTGGACCCCACATTGCCTACGTGTGTGCCACGTCATCCTGACACGTCAGCATAATTGGGTTTTAATCAGGTGTGGCGCAGCGACTATTCCTCCTGCCACGTGGCTTCATCTGCAGCGTCCTGTTATCCCAAACTTTGATTGCTTAAATCGGAGCCATCCGAAGTCCGATTTGGGTGATCTCAGTGTCGTTTCCAGCATTTTTGGCCATTCCGGACACATTTGTAAGGTCAGATTTTTGAGATTCAAGTCCGAGAAAGAGTAAAAATGGCTGATGAAATAAAGGCTGCAGGAATTGAAAAATTTGATGGAACTGATTTTGGATATTGGAAAATGCAAATTGAAGATTATCTATATGGGAAGAAACTTCATCTTCCTCTGTTGGGGAGCAAGCCAGAAAACATGTCAGAAGAAGATTGGCAAATTCTTGATAGACAAGTCTTGGGCATTATCCGGCTATCATTGTCAAGAAGAGTTGCTCATAATGTTACAAAAGAGAAATCCACAGCAAGATTGATGGAAGCCTTGTCTGGGATGTATGAGAAGCCATCAGCAAATAACAAAGTGCACTTGATGAAGAAGCTGTTCAACCTGAAGATGACAGAAAGCACCTCTGTTACACAGCATCTTAATAATTTCAACACCATCACAAATCAATTGTCATCCGTTGAAATTGAGTTTGATGATGAGATCCGAGCACTTATTTTGCTAGCTTCATTCCAAGCAGTTGGGAAGGTATGAGAACAGCCGTAAGCAACTCAGCTGGAAAATCCAAATTAAAGTATGATGATATCCGAGACCTGATTTTAGCTGAAGAAGTACGAAGAAAAGACTCGGGTGAAAGCTCAAGTTCAGGTTCAGCTTTCAACATCAACACTCGAGGAAGGAGACAAGACAGAGGCTTATCTAGAGACAGATCAAAATCCAGGTACAGAAGCAAAAGCAAGTTTGGACCCCGGAAGCAGGTTGAATGTTGGAATTGTGGCAAACCTGGCCATTTTATGAGGAGTTGCACAAAACCAAAGAAACCTGAAGCTGATTCTGTAAATGCCACTACAAACGAGGTACAAGATGCTTTGATCCTTGCTGTACATAGTCCTATTGATGATTGGGTTCTTGATTCTGGAGCTTCATTTCACTGTACTCCACACCATGAAATGATGCAAAATTACACTGCTGGAAATTATGGGGTAGTCTATCTGGCCGATGGACAACCATTGGAGATTGTGGGTATAGGAGATGTGCAAATCAAGACAATGAATGGATCTACATGGAACTTGCAAAATGTAAGGCATGTTCCTGAACTAAAGAAGAAGTTGATCTCGGTCGGACAACTTGATGATAGTGGCCATTCAATCCTTTTCTCTGGAGGAATGTGGAAGGTATCAAAGGGAGCAATGGTTTTGGCTCGTGGAAAGAAAACCGGCACCCTGTATATGACCACAAGATCAGCAGATATAATTGCCTCTACTGAAGCAGAAAATCAGGCGCAACTATGGCATTGTAGACTCGGCCATATGAGTCAAAAGGGGATGAAGATACTTCAGTCAAAGGGAAAGCTGCCAGATTTAAAAAATGTTGATCTAGACATTTGTGAAAGCTGTGTTCTCGGAAAACAGAAGAAGCTCAGTTTCTTAAAGGTTGGCAGGACCTTAAGACCAAGAAAACTAGAACTAGTGCACACAGATTTATGGGGACCAGCTCCAGTAGCATCTCTTGGCGGTTCTCGGTACTATGTCACTTTTATTGATGACTTTAGCAAAAAGGTATGGGTCTACTTTCTGAAGAATAAATCTGATGTGTTTGACATGTTCAAGAAATGGAAGGCTATGGTTGAGACTGAATCAGGTTTGAAGCTGAAATGCTTACGATCTGATAATGGAGGAGAATACATTGATGGAGGTTTCAAGGAGTATTGCGCTGTCAACGGTATCAGAATGGAAAAGACAGTTCCAGGCACACCACAACAGAATGGTATTGCTGAACGGATGAACCGGACCATCAATGAACGAGCTAGAAGCATGAGGTTGCATTCTGGGCTACCTCAAACATTCTGGGCTGATGCAGTTCATACTGCAGTTTACTTGATCAACCATGGACCATCAGTACCTTTGGAGTTCAGACTGCCCGAGGAAGTCTGGAGAGGAAAAGAAGTACAACTTGCTCACCTAAAAGTCTTCGGGTGTGTTTCCTATGTACATGTAGACTCTGATGCTCGCAACAAGCTGGATGCCAAATCAAAGAAATGTTTCTTTATTGGCTATGGAGATGAAGAATTTGGATTTCGGTTCTGGGATGATCAGAACAGGAAGATTATCAGAAGCAGGGACGTGATCTTCAACGAGAAAGTTTTGTACAAAGACAAATCAAGTACAGAACTAGAGATAACTGATTCAGATACGAGTCCACGGAAATCTGAATTCATACAATTAGAAGGGCTTCCTGATGTTACCACTCAAGAGTCCACACAAGATAGTTCAAGCACTTCAGTACCCACCACTTCTACACAAGATAGTGCAGAGCCAAGTGAACCAGCTGTTCGCAGGTCTTCAAGGACTATAAAGCCTCCACAACGGTTCACACTTCTACTGAATTATATCTTGCTGACCGATGGTGGTGAACCATTAAATTATGAAGAATCCTTACAAGATGGAAACTCGAGCAAGTGGGAGTTAGCCATGAAGGATGAGATGGAGTCATTGCTGAAGAACAAGACTTGGGAGTTAACCAAACTGCCTGAAGGAAAGAAGGCCCTGCAAAACAAGTGGGTTTACAGAGTAAAGACCGAGCATGATGGAAGCAAACGGTTCAAGGCAAGACTTGTTGTAAAAGGGTTTCAGCAAAAGAAGGGGATCGACTATTCTGAGATATTTTCTCCAGTTGTGAAGCTTACAACAATCAGAGTTGTTCTGGGGATAGTAGCTGCAGAAAATTTACATCTTGAACAATTAGATGTAAAAACAGCATTTCTTCATGGAGAATTGGAGGAAGACATTTACATGCAACAACCAGAGGGGTTTGCAATACCAGGAAAGGAGAGTCAAGTTTGCAAACTAAAGAAGAGTCTATATGGTTTGAAGCAAGCTCCAAGACAGTGGTACAAGAAGTTTGATAACTTCATGAGTAGTACGGGATACACAAAATGTCAGGCTGATCATTGTTGCTATATCAAACATTTTGACAACTCCTATATCATTCTACTGCTATATGTGGATGATATGTTAATTGCAGGTTCCAGCATGGAAGAGATTGACAAGCTAAAGCAACAGTTGTCAAAACAGTTTGAAATGAAGGATCTGGGAGCTGCTAAACAAATACTTGGCATGAGAATCATCAGAGACAAAGACAAAGGCATACTAAAGCTTTCACAGGCAGAGTATGTCAAGAAGGTTCTCAGCAGGTTTAGTATGGATAATGCTAAGCCAGTATGTACACCTCTGGGGAATCATTTCAAGCTCAGTAAAGACCAGTCACCAAAAACTGAGCTACAACGTGGATACATGGACCAGATCCCATACGCCTCAGCTATCGGCTCCTTGATGTATGCCATGGTCTGTACTAGACCAGATATTGCCCATGTAGTGGGAGTTGTAAGCCGATATATGAGCAATCCTGGAAAGCAGCATTGGGAGGCAGTGAAATGGGTCATGAGGTACTTAAAAGGCTCATCGGAGACATGTCTTATTTTCACAGCTGGCGGTTTGAAACTTGAAGGCTTTGTAGATGCTGATCTAGCAGGAGATGTTGATAGCAGAAAGAGTACTACAGGTTATATATACACTCTAGGAGGCACTACTGTTTCTTGGAGTTCTACCTTGCAAAAGATAGTTGCTCTTTCAACGACAGAAGCTGAATATGTTGCAGTTTCAGAGTCCGCAAAAGAGATAGTATGGCTACAGAGTTTCCTGCAAGAATTGGGCAAGATGCATGGAAAAGGTACTTTGTATAGTGACAGTCAGAGTGCAATCTTCCTTGCCAAGAATCCAGCATTTCACTCCAGAACAAAGCACATACAGATCAAATATCACTTCATCAGGCAATTGCTCGACGATGAACAACTGTTACTTGAAAAGATCTGTGGAAGCAAGAATCCAGCCGACATGTTAACCAAAGGAGTTACTCTCGATAAACTGAAGCTGTGTAAAGCTTCAGTGGGTCTTGAAGATTAAAAGACAGACCTAACACCATTTGTGTCCAAGTGGGAGATTGTTATGTGTGTGGACACAAATGGACGGTGGCAGCCATGGTAGGTGGCAGCCATGTTTGGTGGCAGCCATGGTTGGTGGCAGCCATGGTTGAAATTATAGTCAAATGGTAGGTGCCTAACTTGCCCACCATTGTTGAACAATCATCTCCCTCCTCAGCTATAAATAGAAGATGTATTGATAGCTGAGATAGACCACGAGATAGAGAGAAACACAGAGAGAGAGCTAAGGGTGAGAGTTGAGTTGAGTTGAGAAGTTTTCTCCTCCTCCTTGTTTTGTTGTTTGTATTGCTTTTGAGCTTGATTAATACAAACCAGTAGCTCCGTGGAGTAGGCAAGTTGCCGAACCACGTAAATTTGTGTGTGTTTGAATGTTTGGATCTCCTAACAGTCCAGGCCCTAACGATGAAGGCTTGTCTAGGAAACATATTCTTGAGTGTACTAAGGTTTCTCTTAAGAGAATGGATATGGACTCTATTGATGTAATCTATTGTAATCGCCCACTCCAATTGAAGAGACAGTGAGGACAATGAATCACGTGATTGATAAAGGTTGGGGGACCAGTGAATGGTGAGCTCAACAAATCACTGAAGCTTGGGGCATTGCGGAGAAGTCGGACTTGGTGGGACCAATTGGGGGTGGCGTACGGTACCCACGCGGCGCCATTATTTCAGCACTTTCAGAATTTTTGAGCATTGTTCCTTGGCTTTCAACAATTTTTCTAGATTAATTTATGAATTTCAGAAGGTTTATTTTATAAATTATAAATGTTTAATGTGTGCGTGTTTGAATTAGGATTAGAATTTTTAATGTTTTATGAGCATGTGTATTTTTAGTGCTTTACGGTAAAGATAGCAGAATTTCTAATAAATGAAGAGAGAAGGATCAATTATACTCTTTTGTTAATGAATTCCTTCACATTGTTACATAACTTTATATCAATTTATAGTTGGAAAACGTGAACAAGCTTCTAACCTCAATGCTAACAAACTTCCTTATTTTTATAACAATACTAACAACATTTTAACCACTTGACCCTTTAATCTCTTGACATGTGGCAAAACTAGGTCGTTTGATATCTTTACACCTTTGCACTCTTCGGTGTGGTTAAAAGATGCTCCCCCAGGATTCAATTGTTTCTTTGGCTGCTTGTTCAAGATAAAGTATGCATGCACTCATGATTTCTTGTTTCAGCGTGATTTGCTTTAACTTCATGCAACTTTTCTTTACTTGTATTGTTTGGAGTCCGTGGCTTCATCAGAACGATGTAATCTTTAACGATGCCACTCCAGATCTTCAGGGTTGCTTCTACTTGATTCTTCACAGGCTTTCCTTATGGTTGAAGATTGATAGAAACACTTTTGCTTACACCAGAATGGATCTAGGGATCAGCTCTGATGGGATCAAGTTCTGGGATAACAGAATAACTCACAGCTGATCACTTTTACCATTTTTCCTTTGTTTGGTCTCTGTTCCCTTTCTGTTGTTGTCTTTTTCCGACTTCTTTGGCTATCTTCCCAGAAATTAATAAAATCTCGACTATTATCTAAAAAAAAATCGGGAGGATATATACTAGCTAGTGCAAGCAAGTTGACCGTGAACTAGCAAAAGAAAAAACATAGTCTAAAATACAAAAGAAAAGGCCAAGGCATTAAAGTCTAAATCAAAACTTGTTTAAGCTGCAAATAGAAGGGTCGTTATGTATTCGTCCAATTCAGTAGACCTTTTTCTAAATAATAGTCGAGATTTTATTAACTTTTGGCTAATAAGAAGATAGCCGAAGAAGTAGCGAAAAAAGGCAACAACAGAAAGAAGAAAAAATAGAAGCCATAAAAGCACTCTCCACTTACGGCCTAATGATTGACTACTATCAGAAAGGAAAATGGGATCTCATGATTGACTACTATCAGAAACATTCCGAATATTTGCACTCTCCACTTACGGCCTCTAAGGAGACTGCATTTCATATGGCTGTGTGCAGCAAACAAGAGCAACCACTTAAAGATTTACTGGAAATCATGACGACAAGCGAATTACCTTTAACTGAGACAGAATTTCTCAAGAAAACAAATTTGGAAATACGGTTCTTCACGAAGCAACCATCTATGGCAATAATAAGGCTGTAAAACTCTTGGTAGAACGTTGTCCCGAGCTGCTTTCGGTTCCAAATGAGTTCGGTGAAACCCCATTGTTTACAGCTGCCGGATTTGCTGAGACAGAAATAGTGTAGTTTTTAATCAGATCCAAACCAGGACAACGCGTGGATGATGATGGCCTCCTATTACCAATTCACCGCCAGAGAACGGTAGATAGCATGTCCATCCTTAGCGCTGCTATCATAGGGCAAAACTTTGGTAACAATTTCTCTCTGTATTGAATTTTCAAATTTAAAACTATGCATATATAAGATATTGTATAATTTTTGTCTTCCTAATCCCATGAATGCAGAAGCAGCTTTACTGTTGCTAGAACTGGATAGATCGCTCGCCAGCTTGAAGGACAAAAAATCAAATATCTACTCTTCAACTTCTAGCCGAAATGCCAGCTGCTTTTTTGACAGTGAATTTCCCATGGGCGTATTTGAAAGACTCATCTACTATTGTATGACTTTTTTCTGTGTCATCGTTAACATTTCTTTCCATTTCATAAAAATGGCTAGCTCTCATCCATGTTTAATTTCATTCCCTTTCGCATGAGCATGATGTAGGATGTTGGCTAGAAGGAATCTGGAACCAGAAAAACAAGCGTGTATTTGCTTTGAGATTCGCCAAAAGCCTAGTAGAGAAAGATGACTCATATGAGTTAGAGGGAGAGGAAGGACGAGATGGAAAACAAACCGTTCTGCTCTCATCACAAATCATAACAGGAGACCAAAATAAAGAAGAAGAAGGGCAAACTTCTGAAATCACTAGCGACGCAAAAGAAATAAAAAATGTCCAACAGCACAAACTTCTTTAATAAAGTCATCATTAACTATTAAGGTGGAGAGCCCATTGTTTACTGCAACTGAAGGGGAATAGAAAAGATGGTAGAGATGATAATAAATGTACATCCTCATGCTATTGAGAATCTCAATAAGGAGGGTCAGAGCATTTTGGATATGGCATGTGTTTTTTTAGTGGGTATGTTTTGAACATATCTAAATTAAAAATTTTTAAAAATTGCAAATTATTTAAAATAAAAAGTTTTATGCAAAAAAAATAAAATCATTTTTGAACATGTAATGATTTATTGCAAAAAAAATAAATTACATTCACAAAAATCAATTTTTTTTTTTTAAATATACACTTTAGTAAGTTATATACCCAGCACATAGAAAAACTTAAAATATATATCATCTAGAAAATCCATAAATTTAAAATGATTTTCCCTTCATATTAACCATATGTTTTCTGAATGAGGTAAATATTAAAGATTATGTCAATTATATATAAATATATCCATTGAAAAGGTTATAAATTACATCTCTATTCTACTACGTAACTTTTTTATTGTCTTTTATTTTTTTTAAATTTAAAATATTCATTTATTCAGTTTCTATTTAATTCAATGCAAATACTTACTAAACCTTTTTAGAAAATATAAAACAAGATACATGTTAAAGCTTTAATTATATTATTAAAAATATCTTAACATTTGTCTAAAATCCCTCAACACGGACTAAAAAAAAGTAAAGGTTTTGAGCAGTCAAATAAAGATGTTTCCCTTCCCTCACTAGATCTTCCCTCCCACGAGAACCTCAAACGCAAGCCATCGGCATTTCCAGAACCTCTCTCTTCAACCACAGCGTCTTCCACCTTAACTCCATAGAGCCCTCTCCCAAACAGCAGCGTTTCCTTCTCCCTTCCCCTAACAGCCCTAACTGCATTTACCCTCCCTTCCACTTGATCCGCTATTTCTATAGTGGCCAGAAATGATAAATGACAAATTTTAAAGATTAACTTTGGAGACTAATTTCAAGTAGTACTATTTGGGGTAATTAGTTGTTGAGAAATCAAATTGTTTTTGAGAAGGGAACTATAAACTTGTTTGATTGTTTCTCCACCATCCTTCGTCTAGTTGCTATTTAGTTGCACATTCTGGATTCAAACTTTAGTTATACAAGAAACGACCTCATAAGATCTTCTAATGGCATCAAATTATGATGTAATAAAAAATCTTAGTAGTCTTTTTATTGTTTGCTATAGTAGATCAATTTTTTTTTCTTTTTTTCATATCCTTGTATGTCACTTTGGCTATTGACTTTATGGCATTTTCAATATACTTTTGATCAAAAGAAGATTTGCCATAATTATACGGGGATCTACCACTAAAATATTATGTAGATAGCATAACATATATATTTATAGACTAGTAGGACATAGTTAGTTTTAAGAGAAGGTTTAGTTGCACTAGAAAAAAAAAAGGCATTAAAAGATTATAAATTTTTATCCAATTATTGGATTGCGTTTAAATATTTTTGGGAGATTTATGAGGCTTGGTTCTATGGTAGGCCTAACTTGCTATAACTAACTGAACTTTAGAAGACTCTAAAATTAGGCCTTGAAGTTGTTGTTTAAGCCTATTTTGTTATTTTTCCTTGATTTTTTTAGATTTTATGTTTTATAAAAGTTTTTGATAGGTTTTTCTTTTTATTTAGGGATTACGATTTTCTTTTCTTACTAAGGTCGGTCTCATGTTCATTTAAAGACTTGTAAGGCATAACTCATTAGCCTTCATTTTCATGACTAAAACTATGACTTAGAGTTCTAGTGGGATAACTCTATTTTGACCAATCTCTTTCTTTCTTGCCTTTTATTTTCTTATTGGAGTTTCTGTCTACATTTGTAGGATTTGGAGCAACAATACTCCTTTATCCCAATTGGCATCTTAATTTGCACTCTCTTATTTCACTCTTCATTCATCACTGACAGAAAATTACGAGTGCTTGCTCGAGAATATTCCTCTCGCTAAACTCTATATTCCTGAAACTCTTCTGATTAAGTTTGGCTGCTTTATAATGCATCATTATCTTGTTATTCAAGCTGTGTCATCCATCACACGGCATAAAGTTGCATGCTGTGTGAATTTGTTTAAAAGGACAAAGAATCCATCAAATGTGGAATGAAGTTCAAACCGTACACATATTATCAAGTCAATAATCTTTTTACTTCTGCTAAACCTTTAGTACTAATGGTGTTGAATTTTTCTGCGTTTGAGCATGCACAGATGTCCGTGGTACCACAGCTCTGTGCTATAAAGCCTGATACGTGGTGACCCTATTCTGAAGAACAAAAGGGTTGCATATCGTATATAATTTAGTTAAATCAGGATGTAAAGCTAAGCGTGGAACGCGTCATTTCAGTAATCAAATTAAAGAAGAAATTTGTGAAGCAAAGATTATTCCTCATTAGTTGTAAAGCATGACGTGCAAAACGTGCTGCTATTGGATGAAATTGCACTAATGAAAAAAAGGATGGACAAAGATAGTGCTAAAATTCCATCAAAGACTTCCATATAAAAAGAAAAATATTCGATTAAGGAATAAAGCGGGATTTTATCATTAAAGTGATGTTTCTGTAGACAAATCAGTATAGATGGTCTTGTAAAACATTCGAGTTCATGAATCAAACTAAATTAATTTAAAAAATGCCGGGATCGATTCGATTCTAAGCCTTTCTCGTGACAAGAAAAATACAAAAACTGACAGTTGTTTGGGGGAATATGATTCAGACTCCATGAGGAATATCATCAAAAAGCTTGTTGCTATGTCATTTTCTTTCAGTCATCTGCCACTTCAACAGGATGAAGAATTCTTCACATTACTTAATTATTTCAAAGATCCTCCACAGGATGAAGACATGATTGGCATCTCCACAGAAATGGTGACCAACCAAATCGCAAATTCAACGTTTTGGTTGATGTCATTAAATTAATTATATTAACATTACACTCCGTAATATAGAGTAGATATTGCTGGTGGAAGAGACCACTCATGATGGCTTTGAAACACTCAAGGAGAATAAAACACGCTATTTTCTTTTAATAACAAAAAACTTACAATAACTAAAAGCTTTTAAACACAACATCTCTTTTTTTCTAGTGTTTCTTTCTTATATTTCCCATATACAATAACATCAACTTAGCTGTCTATTTATATACAAATTAAAAGTAAGAAAACATTAAAGTTCAAGTGTGAATATATATCGTTGGCGGTGGTGTGAAGATTATCATCTTTGATTTTTTTTTTTGGATTGAGTTTTGTCACACCCTAGTGGCAGAGCGCGACGACCAACAATTGGTTTCAGGGTTTTTTATTATATTGTTTATAAGAAAGTTGCCACCTAGTATTTTGATCATTAGGAACCCTAAATGGTTTTTTAAAGATTCCAAGGTAAGGAACTAGTTGCATAAAGGAAATGTATTAACATCCTTAGTACGCCCTACCTAAGCTGCTTGGTGTTTATAAGCTACTTGGTGTTTGGTCTGCCTTATAATTGCTATGGTGTTGGTGTTCTATTAATTAGTTTTTCTAGGATAGGTTTGCTATAATGAGTGATTTGGGTTAAAAGTCTAAAAGAATAATGCTTGGCCAATATAGATCATACCTTTAGATATGTCTATAAAGTTTCAAGGGGAATCAATGCAGATCTCTTGAAATCTGTGTTTGATTTAGACTAAATTTATTAAGAAAAAAATCCAAGAAAATTCAATATGCTTTAAAAGCACATTTTTCCATTGGTATTTCAAGGGTTTGCAACTCATAAATCATAAAGACAAAAGACAAAAATTTAGAAATCTAGGTTGCTTTTAAAAAAACTATATTTTTTAGTGTTTTATACTCTTACGACTCATAAACCGTGGAGTAAAAATTGAAATATTCTCGATTATAATCAAGGCTTCTTTCAAGGATGTGTGCAGATTTATTATTTCTAGAAAATTATTTTGGATATTTTCCACTCTGGGTTTCTTTATTCAAATATTAATAGTGAATAATAACAAATTATTTCCAATAATATTTTAGATATTCATCCTTTAAGGATTTGTTTATCCAGATATTAGCGGTGAATAATAGATGAATTGCCCCCAAA